TCATTTAAATTGCTGGTCCGAAACCAATTCCGGAACATGCTCTCAGAGAATTTCCGTAAAAGCAATATACACAAAACCTGGTTCAACCATATTTTAACTATCCCAANAAAATTAAAGCTATGCAGTATCATTTAAAGCTCTAAATTTGTAAAGTATATTCGAAAAACAAATAATGTAACAGTAATTGTTGCAATTGGGCAATTGCGAAAGATTCCTGTTACATTATTTGTAACAGGAATTATACATGTTACATTATTTGTAACAGGAATTATACATGTTACATTATTTGTAACAGGAATTATACATGTTACATTATTTGTAACAGGAATTATACGTGTTACATTATTTGTAACAGGAATTCATATATTAATAAATTCAAGACATTTTGATAGTATCTGATAAACCTGAAAATAACCACTCGCCTCGTCGCGAGTCAACAAAGAAGAGTGGCGACAACAATTAAATAAGCAACGGGGCACTTTTTTCCATATTTTTTTTTAATTGTTTTATGGCATATAGAATTTTCTTGCACGGCAAAGTCAGTATGTTTAACCAAATTTTGTCGAATGTTTTATTTTTATTGTAAAATTAACTTTAAAGCCGTAGATAATTTCTAAGATAATTTTTTTTTCAAAAGTATAGTTTAATCCAAGCAAAAAATGGCTATTAAATGAAAGGACCTATCGGTATTGGTCACCGACCTATTGGGTGTGAGGAAGAGTGGCTACTAAGTTATTAGAGTCTAATGGCTACTGGCTTCTAACAGAAAATTTAAATTTTCAGCTCTAGTATCTGTGACTTCTTGTTTAATATTAAATGTAAGCACGTGTTTTACCGCTGTCAAAATACATCGTCAAAATATTTCTTAGAGTCAATCCACTAAAATCAATCCATTAGAGTCAATCATAAATAAAATGTCACGCTTAATAATTTAAACAAATATTCACTAATATTAGATAACACTTCAGATTTAAAGAAAAACACTATTTCATATTTATATAAGTTTTATTCAATGTAAATAGTTTTAAAAGAGGCACAAGTTTTATCGAGAAAAAATTTTTTTAAATACAATTATTCGTTCCTAAATTCTGAAAGTGCACTAACACGATATATTGCTTTTGATAATGTATCAAACTTTTTGATATGAAAAAGGTAAACATCGATTTTCAAATTTACAGTGGTAGTAAAGCTAAAAATAAATGTTCAATTAAATCATGGGTGTTTAATGGTTTTTATTGTCACAAAACATAATGCTGCAAGAAGCCTAGACTCTACACAGCGAATATATATTATGGAGTTAAATTGCTTCTAATATTAGAGGTTGTTTTGCTAATTTTTAACATCACGTAATTGAATCACTGGTGAAAAAACAGTAGAATTTCAGCTAATTAAACAAATTTAACTGTCATTCAACGACCATAGTAAAATATCTTACATAAAAAGCATGAAAATCGACATCTATGCGTTTTTGGCTCATACAAAAAAATACGATCTAACTATTATAGACTAAAGCAAAACGTAACTTGAATAAAGTACAAATGAAAAGTACATAAATTTACCTACCCCCAATAGTTTCAGTTCCATAAACAAGTTGTTTACACAGCACTAAAACTGCTCAATGGGCTGTTGGAGACGGTCTGGGAAACATTTCATATCCGAAGACATACCATAACAGTTTTGATCCTCTGCGGAGGGGATGGCTCTCCGCTTTAGTAGCCCAACGACTTGCGCGAGAAGTCAGCTCCTAACTGTAGAACAGTTTAACAAAACCGATACCGAAGATCTCTAATCAAGAATCTTCCTCAGTGTCTAAACGTCAAATTTATATACTTTCATTAGTGCTTTATTCTTATTTTAATTTAAATGCAAAGTTTTTAGATTATTTAGATTTTCACTCATTAAAAAAATCTTATTGAAAGCAATGTCTTCAATGCAATGAATGATGAAAGCAATGTCCTTTTAACATTAACTAGAATTCCTACCGAGAACAAACATTTCCCAAACGTTCATGGGGACAATTATAAACATATTAGTTGCTAATTACATGACGATTTTAGAGCTCAGAGATTTGAAGATTTATACACCAGAACGTTTAACTTAGAGTTATGAAACTTGAAATTTAAAACAATGATATACTTCAATTATGCTATGTCAAAAGTTTCGATAGGATTTCTTTATATAATCCTACAGTTTACCAACTGCTTTAATGGAGAAAGGCCCTTCAATTTTTAATATCTACTAACGTTCGTATTTCTATATGACTGTTTTCTTAGTGTAAACAATTGCATGTTTTAGCAGGAAAATCACCTATCAAAAAAACTATTTATTCCCGCACAAATTGATTGCCTTTCCTCTTTTTGGTAAACACCTCAATTGTTCATTTAGAATAAGATTCAGCACAACAAAGTTTTCAAAAATATGAAAGAAAGAAAATTAGTTTAATGTGGTCAAATATTGATGATGTTCATATACCTCGCACTAGAGCTGCACAATGGGCTATTGGCGACGGTCAAGAAAACATCCCTGAAGATTATCCGAAGGCATGCCATCACAATTTTGATCCTCTGCAGAGGGAATGGCAAACACGTTTCGGTAGCCCAACCACCTGCACGTGAAAGCTAACACTTTACGGTAGAACAGTTTAACGAGGACCAATACCGCACACCCTCGGTCCCTACGCAGACTGATCCAAGTGGTCACCCACCCGCACACTGACCCCAGCCAGTGATGCTTGACTTCGGTGATCTGTTGGGAACCTTGTCTAAACGATCAGTCCTCTACGAAATGCGGTTGATTATTATAATTTAAAACTTGACTTTATTCTTTGGAATTTCATGAAATCACTGTAAAAAAAGTTTAAGATGGCTAAACTAATTTAAGGGAATAGAAATAACATTTTATAACAAGCCGCTAATTTACAATCAAGCATCTTTTAGAGACTCTCTTTTTTGGAAATTTTTCTCTCGGCTGTAATTGGTCCTCATTATAATGCTAATTTTCATATCTTCTAATATTTGTTACTTGAACTAAAAAAGAAGTAAAGACGCATTTTTATTTATTTAAGAAAATGCCAAACAGGATATCTAGTTGTTAAAGACCGCTGGATTGTAAAATCGCTAGCCGGTCATCGTTGATAATTTAAACAAACTTTGAGTTCTTACTATTCAGTTATTCTAGTCAGAATTAACTTTTGTTTAAAGATAATAACAATGCTAAATATTGAATAAAATGTCATTTTTAAACACTTTAAATTCATCTCCGAAGCTTGATTTAAAATGCAAAATCAGATTTTTCGAAGATCCTCGTTGATTGAGAGCAGAAATGCTTATTGTAAATTTGAATGCGTGAAATAAAAGTATTTAACAAGCATGCATATAAAAATCAATTTTGCGGATGATTAAAATTACGTACTACATACATTAATAAAGAATTTAAACAATCCTACAAAACTTCAAAAACGCGGTCATTTTAAACTCAGTGAAATGATAGTTATAATTGCTCGTATCATTGTGAAGCACTACTGAACATAATGAAAGGCGCAACAAATCCATTTTGTAATTTGAAAATGGTAAAAAAATATTTTTTGAGTACCATATAATGTATCGATTTTACGCGAAATAATAAATTTATAAAATTATGTATCAAAACTTTGACAAACACACCACTGAACTCAGAGGTAAGTTTTTAAATTGTCCAGTTCATATTGGTGTATATCCTAAAAAATACTCGATAAGTATCAATTTGCGTATCATATAACGAATCTCAATTTTGAACTTCAATAAAATATAAATGTAGAAAATATTCACTAAAACACAAACATGAAAATCCGGAACTCGGCGAAAAGTTTAAATTTCTAAGTCACAGTGAATGAAATTACGGTTCACCAAAAAAAAAAACTTGAATCTAATATACAGAATCTAATTTACAGAATCTAAATCTTGAATCTAATTTGCACATCATAAATATCAGTAGCATACGCAGACTTGGGTGCGCCCCAACTTAGACTGACCATAAAAAATTTAAAATTATATGAAAAAAAAAAGGCTGATGAAGAGATTCTTATTAATTTTATTTTAATTCAATTTACGAAAATGAAAATAGTAATTGTGATGAAAAGGTAGAATTAAGGTACTAAATTGACACACTGTATACATTTACCACATTGAAATGAATTTTTTTTTTTTTTTTACAATTGGAAATAACTCATTAAAGTAATTGTATTCATAGTTCAGTTGAGAGTTATTATTTATGAAGTTAATTAAAGATAATTTTATAATTTTTTTTTAATAATGGAAGAAAATAACTCACAAAAGTAATTATATTCATAGTTTAGTTAAGGATTATTATTTATAAAGTAAACCAAATATTTTATAAAAAAAAAATATTTTGATTTTAACGTATGGTGTTATTTTTTCTCTTGAGTGCGACCTCAAACTTCTTGCCCCGCACCGGGATTGCGGAAATGTTATTTAAGCCTCTAATAAATATTAAATTCTTATTTCACTCAACTTTGAAAATTTTTTATAACGATCAAAATACAGATTTTTAATTTACTCATTGAAAATGTGAAATTCATATTCCCATTCAACTTTGATCAAACTCTATAATTTGATCTACTTTATTGTCAACTATTTATCAAACTCTCACTATAACAACAAAATATACCAATGTTCATTTTTCACATCAAAAATATTAAATACATATTTAATAACTTTTAAAACTATTACGAGTTATAACTATGCACTCTGAAAACTTAAAGCATGGTCATAGAGTAGGTTTTAATTTACGGTTTCCCGGAAGGAAATAAAAACGGAAAAACTTATCATTAAATGTGATTTATGTATACATCTTCGATGCATGTGAAGTACAAAACGTTCTTAGCACAAAAAACGCGAGCAACAGATTTATTTTCGCTCTTAATACACTCGTGATTACAGGATACGGTACACGCTCAAGATAACAGAGAGAAAAAATCCCTTATGCACGAAACACGTCTAATGAAAATGAGATTTCATCGGCCTAGTTTTCGGAATTAGTCATTTCCGAAGAACGATGGATAAAAACTTAAAATGATATATTAATTTACACTGTCAACACCATGAATTGAAGAAAATTGTTATTTTATCAGCATCTTGACATGTCACGTAAGTTTGAGATATTAAAAATAGTTCGAGATTTTGCTACAAAAAAAAATTTTTTACTTTTTGCGAAACGCCCTTTCTCTTCTCTTTTTATTTTAAATATGTTAATATATGTTATTATAAACTCAACAAATGTTAGTATACTCAGCTAATTATGATATATTACGAATTTGATAAATGTATCATTCAATAATTAGAATAATATTGCTTGATAATTTCACTCACTTCATTGACAATTAGGTATTACTATCCACCGTATCATGCAGATTAAAGAAAAGGAGACATTATTTAGTCTATGAAAACTTCAAAATTTAAAGTTTCAAGAGTCCGTTTTAAATTTATTTTTATCGAAAACTACTTCAATAAAATCAATAAATTTAACAAAAAAGTTTTAAGCATATGTTTTAAAAGGAAAAAGTTCAAAGTTAAATTATTTACATAAAATTCTACATTTGCATTACTAAAGTTTTAAATCTAATTTCTCATAAAATATTCAATTGTAATTTTCTGTGCTGTTACCATTATTTAATAAAAGTTACTTAAATATATTTTTTTATTAGTTATTTGTATATAATAGCAATATAATAATTTTAAAATTTAATCTTTAATTATTGTTATTCGCGTATTTTCTTCTAAATTGAATACAATACGTTAAAAAGTTGTTTTGCTAGTTAACGAGAAATTTAAGTGCTTAACTAGTTCGCGTTTCAAAAAGCAGAAAACTGTAAATTTAATGACAATATTTATTTTAAAAATACTAACGAATTTTACTTAACGAATAACAACATTAAATAGTAGTTTCAATAATATTAAGTTTTTTTAGAAGAAAAAAAAATACAATAAAGTTTTTTTTTACTAAAGGGAAAAAAAACATACCTTTTTCTTGATAAATCTGTTTTCAAATTTAAAGAATATAAATATTAAAAATAATCCTTAAATATGTAGCAATAACGTCAATTTCTAATCATTTTCACCAGAATGTAGGAAAATATATCAAATCATGTCATTCCCTTTTTTTTTTAAAAAAATGAACCACTTCACATAATAACTCACAACCACGAGCAAAACAAAGTCACAGAGCCAGAGCACAACATCAACAAAAAGGAACAAAACCAGCGAACAATTGATTCACCAAAGCTAGCAGCAGCCGGTGTCATCTAACATTACTCTACATTGGCACGAGGAATAAGAATGATTCGTTTCTTATGCAACCGCAAGAGGGCGCACTCCGTCGACTCGTATATTTCAAAGAAGAAGAAGGGGTAAAGCGCAGGTTTAGTAGTCTATTCTTCACTGTAATGCGAAGGGCTGGGGAAGTAATTTCTCTGAAAAATTAAAGCATTTGTTTTTAAGATTGATGATGAGGATGAGAATTAGTTTTCAGCGAGGCTCTTGCATCTGTTGTTGGTTTTATTTATTTAATTCAATTAGATTTTCAAACTAGCGCAAAGAAACGTCTGGCATAGAATTAAGTCAACTATTCTATTCTTAATGTATTTTAAGATGTATCTGTGCAGTTTTAGATTAAATTATCCCCTTACAAAAAATAAAATAAAATAAAAAATAAACATTTAGTAAACAAAATAAAATTTACTTAGTCTCTTAAGAAATATAACTTACTTAAATATATAAATTTTGATGAAATATAAGCAGGTTTTATTTTACACACGAAACAGACTTATTTATTTCGAACAGATTTTATTTTATTTTGTATTAGTAATTGCGCATTTTATTTTATTTTACCCACCTAGATTTAAATTTACTTTGTCCTCATGTAGTGGATGTTAATGTTGAAATATTTGTTATATTGGATCAAGCATTGAAAAAAGAAATATTCCCCTTGGAGAACATATTAAGTAAAGTAACTGAATTTGAACAGGAAAACCACGAAATCTCCCTACATTCTGCAAGACCATACTAGAGCTTTAACGCTTATTCACTTAGATATTGTACAATGTGCGGTGATTGGTTGTATGAGGGTAGCAAAATACGAACCAATCAAGCATATACTAGTCGGGAATCAAATCCGAGCAGCCTGTTTCAAAGGTGAATATGAGCACACTATCATTCAAGCTTAAATATGAGTAGACTGAAAAATGTGGTATATTATTAAAAAAGTTTAATATCAAACATTCATTTTAAATATCGCACGGATAAACTATGCCTTGATTCTGGTATATATGCCTGCCCACTATGTACCGTTAAACTGATTTTTGTAAAACCTTATTTTGATCATAAAACACTGCTCCTAATAGATCACCGAAGTCGCGCATCACTCGAATCAATCAGTAAACGGATAGGTGACCACTTTGATTAGTCTGCAAAAGGACCGATATCAGTCCTCGTTCTACCATAATGTTTACGAGATACCAAAGTAGGGGAGCCATCCCCTCTGCAGAGGATCAAAACTATGAGGAGGAAGTGAAAGCTTACTTTGCTAGTGTGGGTCTTCCTGGCCAAGCAATATCGCCCTTCCACCATACTGTTTGTAGTGCAGATGTAGGGGATTTGAATCTTGCCTAGATGTACTTCTGTATTGCTTTTCTCTAATTTGGTTTTCATACTGACAGAGGCTTATAAACCATACTTTGTAATGAGCCCACAAGTATGATTAAGCATGTGTACTTATACTTTTATTTACTTCACACTATGAACTATTGGCGACTGTCCGGGAAACATCCCTGAAGATGATCTGGAGACAACATACGTAAGTCACATCCCGTTTTACAGGAAAGACGCAATCACACACCATCAATCTATCCACAGATCGTAATTTTGACCTGAACCAGAGCTCATCAATCTCCGATGAAGTACTTCCAGAGGTTTCGATTTGTTCCGAGAACTTAGAGGACTTTGTGACCCTGACAAATTTAGCAAGAACCAATCACAATTTCGTACACGGGGAGTCTTCAGCCGGTGGGTATCGAACTCACCACCTCTCGGACGTGGGCCCAACTTCCTACCAGCCAGGCTATCCCTGTCATGCATAAGTATGCGTAGCAATAAATAAAATAAAAACTTTGCCAGTCTTTCCAGCATGTAAAAGCAAACACTCCGTGGGTATCTGAGAATTACACCACCCTGTACAAATACGTATTAAATCTTATTGCTGAATCTTAAACATCGTTTTTGTACCACCTTGTAGCATTGAAGAATTATACTTAAATAAAATTACTTGTTATAAGCATTCGTTTTATAATTGTTCATTATCAAAAAGAGTATTGAAAAGCGATAATCAAAGATTAACCTTTCCTTACAGAGACTGTCCATGTATGGTGCTGCCATCTATGCGTGAATGAGAGCATCGTATTCTAAAAAGACCAGGATCACAAATTGAAGAGTGCAGGACAGTGGAAACTCCACATGTATTGAATAGAATGGAATGGGGGAAATATTTTAGTGTCAATGCTGGACTCGAACCCCGCACTATCGGTCGTAAGATTCACAGATTAGCCCTCTCGGATATAATATGTATCCAGCCGCAAGGAACTAATTGGCTTCATTAGGTGTGCCTAATTGGTGCGATAAAATTCTAATTGCTTAACCGTATTAGGTGAAGGCAGTTAATAAACGGTTTTTCTTATAGTTAGTAGTTTGAATACCATCTTATTTATAGTTATTTGACAGTTTTGTTTTAATGTGGTGAAATAACATTTAAATAAATTGTTATTTAACCATTTTTTTCCAAAAAAGAATTTTTGACCGTGAAATGTTTCAAAAACTTTGCTCATTTTGATCCTTATATTCCTTAACTTTTGTATAAAATTTTCCAATTACTCATTTTGGATGTTTGAGACAAGTATGCTTGAACAATTATGTTAGAAATTGAGACAGGAAATATTAGGATAGATAACATAGTATATTAGCATAAAAAAACATAAATTCATAATTATTTTTTCGAAATTAATGCATTTTTAAATAAAAAATATATTTATAAATATATTACTTTTTCAAAAATTATACTTCGTTAAAACATATGGATTTTAAACAGTTATATTTTTAATTTGGAAACAATCTAACAAGAGCAAAAAATAAAACAATTTGAAATAATTTTATTCTTGTATGAAATAAAAAATACTTCTTCGCATATTAAGAATCACTATTAATTGAATGTATTATTTATTGGCTTAAATCCAACTATATAATTGCATGAAAAATATATAAATTGAAAATTTTTTCAAAAAGAATGCTTCATTAAAACATGTGGTATTTACCAAATCAGAATTATACTTTGGAAAAATTTAAATAGGAAAAAATAATATTTTGATATAAAGATATTTTATTCGTCAACTTGATGAAAAGAAATTATTGTATCTCATAGTAAAAAATGCTATTTACTCGATATAAATCATTCTTGATTAGAATCCAAATATATAATTATTAAAATATTAAATAGAACATACATAAAAATATACAAATAACATACATAAAAAAACATATACTTAACACACATACCTAGCATACACATTCAAAAAAAACATTTTATTTCATAGTAAAAATTGCCATTTACTCGATATAAATCTTTCTTGATTAGAATTCAATATATAATTATTTAAATATTAAACAGAACATGTATAAAAAATATGCAAATAACATACAAAAAAACATATATACTTAACATACATACCTAACATACATATATAACATAAAAAGCCTGTGCATAAAAATATACATAAAACATATATGCGTAAAATATATAATCATAGAACGTTCATAGAAAAACATGTATACATAAATATTATATAGCCACAGATAAAAGCACTTTATTTAACAATTGGTATTTAAAGAATCAGATATATAGTTTGGGAACAATTAAATTTGAAACTATATAATGTAAGTTATAAATAAATTTTCTTCCTGAATTGAATTTTAAAAAAAATTCAGAGCATATTAAAAATCACCATAACCACGATATATTTTTTATTAGTTGTAAACCAGATATATAATTAAATAAAAAAATTTCAAAAGGAATGCTTGATTAAAACAAGTAGAATTTCGTCAAAATATAATCTATTATAAATGCATATCTTTGACACAATAAAATATGGAACAAATTTTTTCATACAGATTCTAAAGTTATTTTATTCCTGACAAAGTAAAAAAATGGCTTATTAAAAATCGATGCATTTTTGTTGGATAGAATCCAAATATATAAAAACACAAAAAGTCTATACATTATCACGTTTTTAAAACGAATATTTCATTAAAACACTTTTGGTACTTTTTTCCGTCAGATTTATAGTTTGAGAACAATTAGTTATGAAAAAAAATAATACAAAGTAGGATTTAAAGCCATTTTATTCTTCAATGGAATAAAAAAAACATTTTATCGCGTATTAAAAATCACCATTAATTCCACATACTCCACATATTTCTCTGATTGGATAGAATCCAACCAAAGAAAAAAGACACCATTATCCTTTCGACAAAAATGATGAAGATGTTATGTGAATTTACTGTCTCTGGAGAAAATGCGTACGAATACATTTCGGAAAATACTTATATCTATATTTTTTCAAACAACTAGGCAATTTTCGAAAAAGTATTTTCCTTTATATTTGAAAGATTTTTTTTATTAAACGACATACTCAGGATTTTCGAGTAGATAGCTTAAAAAAAAACTCTACTTAGAAGTATTGAATTTGCAAATATATAAAAGGCGTCTCAATTTCTTTCATTTAGAAGATAGTATGAATCGTTAAGAACTTCTATATTTTACTACTGCTGTTTACGTAACAAAATACCTTTTCTATATTTTAACTGTTTTTCTTACATAATAAGTTTAAAATTGAAGGAAAAATCGGTTTGAAATAAGCCTTATTGATCTTTTTCTTAATTTCTTAACCTCAACTAAATTTCTTTCATTTAAAATATAGTATGAATCGTTAAGAACTTCTATATTCTACTACTGCTATTTACGTAACAAGATACCTTTACTATATTTTAACTGTTTTTCTTACATAATAAGTTTAAATTTGAAGGAAAAATCGGTTTCAAATAAGCCTTATTGATCTTTTTCTTAATTTCGTAGCCTCATCTAAATTTCTTTCATTTTAAATATAGTATAAATCGTTAAGAACTTCTGCATTTTACTACTGCTGTTTACGTAACAAAATACCTTTTCTATATTTTAACGGTTTTCCTTACATAATAAGTTTAAAATTGAAGGAAAAATCGGTTTGAAATAAGCCTTATTGATCTTTTTCTTAATTTCTTAACCTCATCTCAATTTCTTTCATTTAAAATATAGTATAAATCGATAAGAACTTCTACATTTTACTACTGCTGTTTACGTATACCGTTACTATATTTTAGCTGTTTTACTTACATAATAAGTTTAAAATTGAAGGAAAAATCGGTTTGAAATAAGCCTTATTGATCTTTTTCTTAATTTCTTAACCTCATCTCAATTTCTTTCATTTAAAATGTAGTATAAATCGATAAGAACTTCTATATTTTACTACTGCTGTTTACATAACAAGATACCGTTACTATATTTTAACTGTTTTACTTACATAATAAGTTCAAAATTAAAGGAAAAATCGGTTTGAAATAAGCCTTATTGATCTTTTTCTTAATTTCTTAACCTCATCTAAATTTCCCTTCGTTATTAAATTAGGAAACGAGACTTAAACACACATATATTATAAAAACAAATTTCTAAGTTCTTCTTTTAATTTTTTACTATGTAATTTTTTTAAGTTGATAATGAAATCCGCTTTAAAATGAAAGCCTTCAGATGCATTCGCTTAATTAGTTTATTTTTCTTCTACTTGTAATTAGTTTAAAAGATAAAAATGACTGCAGTCTTTCTTCTTTTTTTTTAAAGAAACATCATACAATTACTCTAATTAATGAGCTAACAACCTGTCGTTTAAGAAAGTACCTAACACATTTTCGTAGATAAATTGGATATATCAGTGCACAAATTTATAAGAGTAATATAAATTTTTGAAAAGATTTAAATAAGTTTTAGTTTCAGTGACAGTTTTAGTTTAATGTTTCCGTTCATAAGTTTTAGTTTTAGTTGACAGCGCTACAGATTTTTAAGAGTTTCAAGTCAATATTCTATTTAATATCTAGACCCGAAAGTTAATCTTACTTTACCTTTTTTTAAGATGATCTAGTAACTAAACACATTAATCATTTTTTCACATCTGTTTATCGTAAACATTTTGCCGTCTCTGGATCCCCTCTTGCTAATTCTAAACGCTCTAATTGCCAGAAAATTTCTGCGTTTCACACTTCCGTTTACCGCGCATTAAAGCTTTGCTTTGACACTTCTTTAAACTCCTAAACTTCCTCCGATCGTTTGCTGTTAATCGTGGATTATCGGTAAACGATATAGCTCTTACTAAACCCATTAGAGATAAAAGCTCTTTTTTTTAATCTTATTGCTCGTTACTTTACAGTTTTTCTCTCTCATTTGCTACAAAATTGCCCAATAGCCTACTCTGTTTTGGTTTTAAAAGTCATTTTCAGGTCTGTTAACGAAATTAAATTTAATTTATTTAAAGAATCTTTCAGCGTTAAAAATAACTCAGGCATTTACCACGTACCTTCCCAGTGAGACCTTGGCTATATCGAACAAACCATACGTGTTTTAACGTTTAGGCTAAAGGAAAACGATTAATATATCCATTATGAAGAATGCGATAAATCATCAGTTGTAACACATTGTTAGAATTTTGATCATAAATTCTATTTCGACAGTATTAAAATTATTTCCACATCTCTCACATCAGCTCATCTTGATTGCCTGGAATCATGTTTCATTCATATAAATGTAACTTCCCTTGTTAATGACTTGAAATCCTCAGCACCTCTTCAAAGCGCGTGGAAATGCATTTTGCTGTAATTTGACTCTCTCGGCGTTTTTAATTTCGTTTTGAAACAGTAATTATTTTCTGTTTAACACTCTCGGCTACCGCGGTTTTTCTAGTTTTGTTTTTTATCTTTTTTTCCTTTGGACATTTTACATGTTATATTTCAAACCACTTTTGTTTTCCTCATCAACTTCTGGCAAGTCTTGAAAATAGGCGTTTATTTTTGAGACCTTGAAATACGTCTACTTTTATTACCAACTTTAAATTTTTTTGAAGCCAATGAAATTTTATATCATTAAGTATACCACATATTCTTGTTGATTGTGTTGATAGATATTTTTTATCTGTATTTTTTAATTATAATTTATTTAAAAAAAAAGCTGAACAATTGAAAATCCCTTTTTGCACACTGTTTCGAAACAGTTGTTTTGGAGGAAAAAAATATACTGTATAACAATCTATAACAATACATAAAAATATATTGTATAACAATATAAACAGTATATTTTTGTAACAACGTATACAATATAGTTTTGTAACAATATACTAAATTTTTTAAGGCTCCGTGCATAGCCAAGTGAAGTTTTCAATCAAGTATATTATAGAAAATAGTGCAGAAATTTTATATTCTTACTTAGCTTCGAAGACACTCTTACGGGCGGTTGTCACGGAACACCCTGTATTTTTATTGACACTCCTTTTGACAAAATGAGTATTCGCTTGTTTTAAATATCATGGAAAAAAATACGGCTAGCTATTTTTT